AATTTTTGATAGTTATATTGTATTATTCTGTCCCTTCATATTTTAATAAAATCTTTTTGAACACACTTACTGACGAGGCTTATTTCCACTGGAAATATCTACCGCAACAGGTACATCATTTAATAAGAACCTGTCAAAGCCTCGCTATGTTAAATTCACAAACATAATATCAAAACCAAATTCATAATGCACTAATTTAAGAACGCCTTCATATGCCTACGAGGTTATAAAGACAAAGGCGACTTGTCTACATTCATCGTACAGTCTGTTCGCTATATTTACGCGGGTTTCGGATTAACAAAATTATGCAAATTAGTCATTGACAACCAGTTCCAATAAGCCTCTTCCCAAGAGATTAGGTAAAATTGCCCTAATGGTCAGATTTAAATTAAAATAACATTAGGGTAGGTACTAAATTTGTTACAAATATTGCAGTTGAATTGATTCTTTGCAAGTGTTGATATTGTATGTATATTGTAAATTTAGTGGAAATTTTAAAAATGCCTAGACGTGTGTTAGATGTAGATAGTCTAATTTGTAGTGTACATAAGTATTTTACCGAAGAAAAAGAAGTGGCGGTCCTTTAAAATCGGTAATGTCTGTACAACAGCGCGTATGCGATGCTCTAGGAATTAGTGAAACCAAATTAAGAGGAGTATTACAAAATCACAATAGTGAACTGCCGAAAGAAGATCACCGCAAAACTCGCCCATCATTGAAAACAAAAGATATTTCAGATGGAAAGAAAGTTTGAAATTCGTGATACCATTTATCAAATGAGGGCCAACAAGGAACATGTGATCTTAAATACAATTCTCTCAGAATGAATAGATAGAAAATTTGACGACATGGGCAGATACATAACTTGGGTTTCAAATTTCAAAAGGAGGATAACAGAAAGGCCCTTTGTGAAAGAAGTTCTGTCGTGCACAAGAGAATTAATTTTCTAAGAAAATCTTCTAAATTTAAAGAAGAAGGGGCGAATTTTATATATTTAGACGAAACATGGATATTTTCTAGGGGTGCAACCAAGGGAATATAGCAAGATGATAACGTAAAGTCCATCAAACATACCGATGGAGAAGGGAAGCGACACATAATTTTACATGCAGAAGGGAAATCGAGTTTTATAGAAGGTGCTGATTTAATATTTTCATCTAAATCAAAATCCAGTGACTATCACGATAATATGAACACAGAAATGTTTGTAAAATGGTTGCATGAAAAACTTCTCCCAGGTTTAAGTGAGCCCAGCGTAATTATTTTAGACAATGCACCTTACCATTCTGAAGTATTAAACAAAAGTCCAACGAATTCTTGGACTGTTGATAAAATTAAAGAATGGTTGACAAAGGAACATATACCATTTCATCAATATATATTAAAATCAGAATTATTACGCTTGGCAAATATACACGCAAAACCAAAAACCTTTGTTGTGGATCAGATTATTGAAAGTTACGGTCATCAAGTTTTACGTCTGCCACCGTATCATTGCCAGTTTAATCCCATCGAATATATATATGGGGAATAGCAAAACAATATTATGATAAGCATATGGGGCCTAATGGTTATAGTGACGACGCAGTTCGGGAAACTTGGCGAAAAGCACTTTCAATTGCAACTCCAGAAGTGTAGCGGAACTGTATATCCAAGTGCGAGAAACTAATAGAAGATTGGTGGACTCGTGAAAATAAAATAAATGAAATAAGTCCAATCATAATAACAATTAATGGTGATGAAAGTGATGATGATGACGATTATGATATTTTGGATGATAATGACTGATTTTCATTTTTGTTGGCAAGTTCAATTTTTTTATTTTTCATTTGAAATTCTCTACATGGAACAAATTTTTATGATAGAAAACATTTTATTTGATATAATAACCATCTTATTATAAATAGACCATATTTTCTGTGTAAAGTGTAATATAAAATTATTATTAGGTTTATAATAGCCACATTAGACTCCATTAATGAAGAAGTTTAATTCTGCTCTCAATTATACAAAAGATTCTCCATTAATATTTAATTAAAAAGTTGTACATTATTTTTTATTTCATTTAAGCAGTTGATATTTCCCCAAAGAACAGGTCAAACTTTCGGGTACTTATCTGGAAATACTCATAAAATTTTTAATCCGAAATCCGAGTAAGTATAGCGAATAGACTGTAGCATACATCTTCAAATAACGTTACAAAACGTCAGTGGCATGGGAAAAAAAGAACTATCATGACGTTAATGAACGTCATGGGTAGCGAAAGTGCTAATGCATGTAGTGATTTGCTAACCCTCAAACACCATGGTGGATGGCGTTCTAGCACTGTCGCTGAGGGATACATAGACGATTCCATACAGAATAAAATTGAAATTCCCAAAAAAATTGTCGATTTAATAAATTCTTCTGATCCTCAGTATTCTGAGCCACCTTGTTCAAACATATCAATTACTGAAAATGTGTTGAAAGGGCAAGATTTTAAAAACATAACAGTAAATTACAATTTCAAATAAAACAGCAGGGAAGACTATTAAAAAGCGAATAAAAATTGTTTGTTCATTGTTGTAAATATGTAACTGTATGGTTATAAATAAAAATTTCAAATAAAAATAGAAATCAGTTTTGGTCGTTTTAATAAAGTAGCAGCCGTAGGAAAAGTATAATGTGTAACTCGTATGAAAAGCACTTTTCACACTTTGTGACTTGTGGCACTCGTCTTTCAGGCACAAACAGTCACATGCGTGTGAATAGTGCTATTTTTAACTCTTGTTGCACAATATATTATTGTAAACGTTTTCGATGTGGATAAGAAAGAGATTGATGGTAATGCTGACAGTAGCAAAGAAAGTGACGAAAGACAAAATGTAGCTGATGAAGATATAGCAACAGAAGTTATTGATGAGGATAAAAAAGTGACGAAAGACAAATTGAGGCTTCCTAAAAGACGAAACTGTTACCAAGAATTTCTTTTTCGTTAGAATTTTATCTTACTTGTAGTTTTTTGTCATACTCAATAAAGATATTTTTCTAAATATCAAATATAATTTTCAAATTAAGTTCATGAAGCGGATTTGACCCTAATTTAGTGTATGCCAAGTACACACTTTTAATATGAGTTTTTAATAATCAGTTTTTCTATATTCCACTGAAATGGTAAAATCTAGGTTTGTAAAGATGCAAATATTACATGTTATTGCAATTTTCAAGTTAATAATACTTTCCATAACTATTATAAAAGTGAGAAAAGTTCCATTCAATAATCAATCTCACAGGATGAAACCTTATAAAATGCCACGTCCCAATCGGTTTTTCTTCATGTACCAAATAAGATTTTTATGGGGGTTTTTAGAGAGTAAATAACATTCCTGAGGTACGTACATTTGATTCTTTGAAAAAATATAGTTATTACTCGCGTTCAACAGTAACCTACAACAAAAAAATAAATTAACACGTAGAGGGTCATGTTGAAATATTTTAAACATTAATAAGGGATACAAGTAAGGTGATAAGACCATCAATAGAGGCCATTGCAGTGGCCAGACACATTTACAGCAGTAATAGGTTAAAATGGGCCGTGAACGTTTTTGAACCGTTTAAGTCTCAAGGTGTGGATGGAATATTTCTTGCCCTGTTTTAGCGGACACAGGAGGAATTACTACCATATATCCCGAAACAGTCTGGAACTGTGATACCAGAAACATGGAGAAGGGACAGAATCACCTTTATTCCAAAAGTAGGAAAAAGAATATAACACATCCTAAATCCTTCCGACCAATCAGCCTCATAAAAAACAATGGAGAATGCTGTTGATAATTACGTCAGAACAAAAATCCTGGAGAAAGTGCCACTCCACCAACTCGTCCCGACCAGAAAGATCTACAGAAACTGCCTTTGTACAGCTGACTGATGAAATCCAGGATGCACTGACAAACAAAAAAACTCTTATGTGTGCCTTCTTAGACATAAAAGAGTGTTAACACGCCACATGAATCTGTCAAAAAAGCATTCGTATACAGAGGAATAGATAGCACCGCATCTATATCTGGCTCAGCTGCTATCTACGAGAACTCCACAAGGAGAGGTTCCATCTTCACTAATGTAGAGTCTAACCAAAGATCAACGTAAATGCAGATTGACTGACCTCGGCATACCCTGTCAAGATTATGCCGACGACATATATTTGCTAGAAGCAAGTTTGGTAAAGAGGACTAGAATCATTGAGATAGAATAAAGGGGAGATGCGATGACGATGCTAAAAAGTGGCCGAACCTTTACATTACACTTTACATCAATGTCAAACTCCAGATAGTCAGTTTTGGTGATAATAAATGCCATTTGTTTTAAAATAGCTTCGTTTAAATAATATATAATCATTTACCTTTCGCCAATCTTCAAATATAAAATTACTGACTTTAAATAAATCAAAGTACGACTTGCGTCGCCATTTTCATTACACTTTTCCGTCACTTGAAGTGCATCCATCTGTTATATTGCAAAAGAGTGTGGAATACACCATAAGATGTTGCCAAGAGGTGGAACCACTGATTTGTATTATTTTACTGGATAGGATATAGGCTTTATTTGACATACTAAAAATCCGTTCCTCCAAGGAGACCGGAAGTGCAATACTGCTGGCCGCTAGGCAAATTATGGTGGGATAATTTGACATACCTAACAAGTAAATTGATTAGTTCTTCTAATTCTTTGTATTCTTGTATCCTGGCATAATAATGTGTAAATTAGTATTGTTTCAGTTTGTTTCGACAAAATAGTTAGACCTATTAACAAATTATTATTAATATAATAGTTTTATTTACCTATGAAGAATACGGTACTCTTTTCACTTCGTTTTCCACAATAAAAATACGTCTTCATCGTAATTTGTTGACCCAATTAAATGACAAATGAAATTAGTGGTCACAGTTTATAGCTAAAGAATCAGTTAGCTCACTCGGACATATTGGATATTCCAAAATAACATCCACTCCAGGGATACAAATTCAGGATGCGCAGAAGACTGCTGTTTGAATATAGGCGGTCGTCATATTGTATTGGTTATAGTAAGAGAGCCCACTGCAAATTTCGACCGTCATCTACACAGAAAAAAATTATTATCTACATTCAAGAAAAGCTTTACACTTGTAAGATTACATTTGTTTGAAATAAAGCAGAGTTTGCTTCAAATAATATTTCTCAATACAATAAGAAAATAAATGTTGAGTGAAGTATAGGCATAATCTTGTATTTTAAGAGTTATAATAATTAATCTGAGAATAAATTATTTCAGTCGAGTATGGAATTGTGAATTAATCCAAGAAAGCTCTTACATTTATCATAAGTATGATATGCTCTTAAAACAGACTATTGCGTACCTGATTCAATGTTATAAAAGGATTCGATTCAAAGTATTTACATTTCATAACAACATTTAAACAATTCGAATCAAAAACCTATGTACTTCACAAAAGATTAGCTAGTACAAATTTACTGCACGGTGTGGCCAGCTGAAACGTATTTTAAAATGCAACCACTGCACTGATACGGTAGATATACGACTGGCACATGTTGAGATGTGATATTTATTATTCGGAAGTCAGATACACAACGCATTTTTAGAAAATCTGACAAATTGGTATTAGCACGTGTTCATCCTCTTGTCGATTTTCTAACATGTTTGCATCGTATACAAATTGTATGGATGGAACGATATTTTTAGAAGTGGCTTAGCTGAGTGCTACCCTTTCGATGCAAAGGAAAATACCTAATATAAATCGGCCAATTTTTCGGAACGCTTTTTAGGCGGCTATATCCTATCCAGTAAAATAATACAGATCGGTGGGTGGGACAGTATGTATAAATCCCACCGAAACAACACTAGTAGCCTTTTCAAGGAGAAGCATTCTTAATCTTTAAACCATCTCAGACGGGATAAATATATAATAAAAAAAAGAAATGGTAATTTATTGGGTTTCTAACATCTCGATTGTAAATGACTGGGAGGAGCTATTCTGCACTCCCGATCGGAAGGAGCCTACGTTGGTAATTTTATCTGACCAGAATATTTGTAAGATTCACCTAAGGCATTTCAATATATACCTACTTACCTCATCCACATTAGAATTTTCATCATCGTCCTCACATTTTTGTCTCTCTTTTGACGACCACCTCCTGGCTAACTTCCTGAAACTGGTACTTTTATTGCTAAAAGACGGTCTCAAACAAATCATTTCGACTACGGTTTCTTGCTTCTTCAAACTCCTACTTCTTTTATCATCAACAACCTTTGTATTAACCGCTTCCTCGAAAGTCAAAGTGGTGGTCGAATTTTGGATTTCCGTTACATTATCTTTACTTACTGAGCGATCGATATTTATTTCTGATTGTGTGCAATCTGTAGTCCAAACCTAAACGAGACAATACGAATATCTAGTAAGTGATAAAAATAATAAACTAAACAGGATGTTTCAAGAATTTAATCATTTTTACTTTCCTATCTGTGTACAGATAAGGAAAGTCTAGGAATCATGATTTTTTTTTTCAGTCTCGAGTTTTCAACGGATTTTTACGTTTTGGGATCCCCTGAATCCGTTTTGACTATTTTTCGGATGTGTGATGTGTGTGTGTGTCTGTATGTATGTGTGTCTGCGTTTCTGTGTGTCTGCGTTTCTGTGTGTCTGTGTGTCTGTGTGTCTGTGTGTCTGTGTGTCTGTGTGTCTGTGTGTCTGTGTGTCTGTGTGTCTGTGTGTCTGTGTGTCTGTGTGTCTGTGTGTCTGTGTGTCTGTGTGTCTGTGTGTCTGTGTGTCTGTGTGTCTGTGTGTCTGTGTGTATGTGTGTCTGTGTGTCTGTGTGTCTGTGTGTCTGTGTGTCTGTGTGTCTGTGTGTCTGTGTGTCTGTGTGTCTGTGTGTCTGTGTGTCTGTGTGTATGTGTGTCTGTGTGTCTGTGTGTCTGTGTGTCTGTGTGTCTGTGTGTCTGTGTGTCTGTGTGTCTGTGTGTCTGTGTGTCTGTGTGTCTGTGTGTCTGTGTGTCTGTGTGTCTGTGTGTCTGTGTGTCTGTGTGTCTGTGTGTCTGTGTGTCTGTGTGTCTGTATGTCTGCGTGTCTGCGTGTCTGCGTGTCTGCGTGTCTGCGTGTCTGCGTGTCTGCATGTCTGCGTGTCTGCGTGTCTGTGTGTCTGTGTGTCTGTGTGTCTGTGTGTCTGTGTGTCTGTGTGTCTGCGTGTCTGCGTGTCTGCGTGTCTGCGTGTCTGCGTGTCTGCGTGTCTGCGTGTCTGTGTGTCTGTGTGTCTGTGTGTCTGTGTGTCTGTGTGTCTGTGTGTCTGTGTGTCTGCGTGTCTGCGTGTCTGTGTGTCTGCGTGTCTGCGTGTCTGTGTGTCTGTGTGTCTGTGTGTCTGTGTGTCTGTGTGTCTGTGTGTCTGTGTGTCTGTGTGTCTGTATGTCTGTGTGTCTGTGTTTCTGTGTATCTCTGTGTCTCTGTGTCTCTGTGTCTCTGTGTCTCTGTGTCTGTGTGTCTGTGTGTCTGTGTGTCTGTGTGTCTGTGTGTCTGTGTGTCTGTGTGTCTGTGTGTCTGTGTGTCTGTGTGTCTGTGTGTCTGTGTGTCTGTGTGTCTGTGTGTCTGTGTGTCTGTGTGTCTGTGTGTCTGTGTGTCTGTGTGTCTGTGTGTCTGTGTGTCTGTGTGTCTGTGTGTCTGTGTGTCTGTGTGTCTGTGTGTCTGTGTGTCTGTGTGTCTGTGTGTCTGTGTGTCTGTGTGTCTGTGTGTCTGTGTGTCTGTGTGTCTGTGTGTCTGTGTGTCTGTGTGTCTGTGTGTCTGTGTGTCTGTGTGTCTGTGTGTCTGTGTGTCTGTGTGTCTGTGTGTCTGTGTGTCTGTGTGTCTGTGTGTCTGTGTGTCTGTGTGTCTGTGTGTCTGTGTGTCTGTGTGTCTGTGTGTCTGTGTGTCTGTGTGTCTGTGTGTCTGTGTGTCTGTGTGTCTGTGTGTCTGTGTGTCTGTGTGTCTGTGTGTCTGTGTGTCTGTGTGTCTGTGTGTCTGTGTGTCTGTGTGTCTGTGTGTCTGTGTGTCTGTGTGTCTGTGTGTCTGTGTGTCTGTGTGTCTGTGTGTCTGTGTGTCTGTGTGTCTGTGTGTCTGTGTGTCTGTGTGTCTGTGTTTCTGTGTGTCTGTGTGTCTGTGTGTCTGTGTTTCTGTGTGTCTGTGTGTCTGTGTGTCTGTGTGTCTGTGTGTCTGTGTGTCTGTGTGTCTGTGTGTCTGTGTGTCTGTGTGTCTGTGTGTCTGTGTGTCTGTGTGTCTGTGTGTCTGTGTGTCTGTGTGTCTGTGTGTCTGTGTGTCTGTGTGTCTGTGTGTCTGTGTGTCTGTGTGTCTGTGTGTCTGTGTGTCTGTGTGTCTGTGTGTCTGTGTGTCTATGTGTCTGTGTGTCTGTGTGTCTGTGTGTCTGTGTGTCTGTGTGTCTGTGTGTCTGTGTGTCTGTGTGTCTGTGTGTCTGTGTGTCTGTGTGTCTGTGTGTCTGTGTGTCTGTGTGTCTGTGTGTCTGTGTGTCTGTTTTAAACTTAAGCTTTATTGTGTGGTGAACTGATTAGATTTTGGGCAGAGTCGGAACATTTTATGAAATATATCTGTTATTAACGTTTTTAGAAGAAAATTCTTCGAATAAAAGTTGCTTACAATATTATTCATTATAATTTTTGTCCTATATAAAATTTTTCTAAAATGGTTCGTATTCGATAAATCTAACAAAAATTTAAAAAAATTAATTTTTTATAAAAATTGTTTAAATAAAAGTTGTTTGTAAGATAATTATCCATACTTTTTGTCTCATGCATTATTTCTCTAAAATAGACCGTATTCGAGATATTTGAGAAAAAGTGTAAATTTCGAATTTTAAAGAAAACTTAAAAATGGATAAAGAAAAACACAATAAATTTTAAACTTAAGGTTTATTCCGGCCTGAGATGAACTGATAAGATTTTGGGCATAGTCGGAACATCTGAGGGATACTTTATATAAAGTCGTTTGATATTTTATGGAATATATTAGTTATTTATCTATGGAGAAGAAAATTTTTTATATAAAAGGTACTTCTTTTATTATTCTCTATAATTTTTGTTCTATACAATATTTTCCAAAAATGGTCTGTATTCGAGAAATTTTACAAAATGTTGAAAATTCAAATTCATAAGAAAATTGTTCAAATAAAAGTTGTTTGTGATATAATTCTCTATAATTCTTGTTGCATACATAATTTCTCTAAAATGAACCGTATTTGAGACATTTGTGAAGAAGTGTAAGTTTTGAATTTTGAAGAAAACTCAATAACAGATAAAGAAAAAACCTTTAATTTTAAACTATGCTTTATTCCGACCTAAAGTGAACTAATTAAATTTTGGGAAGAGTCGGAACATCTGGGGCGTACTTTATAGGATGTCACTTATATTTTATGAAATATATCTGTTATTTACGCTTGGAGAAGAAAATTCTTTAAATAAAAATTACTTCTAATATTATTCTCTATAATTTTTGCTATTTACAAAAATTTTCTAAAATGGTCCGTATTCGAGAAATTTTACAAAATTTGCAAAATTTTTATTTTTTTTAAGAAAATTGTTCAACTAAAAGATGTTTGCGATATCGATCTCTATAATTTTTGTTCATACATGATTTTTCTAAAATGGACCGTAATGGAAAAATTGGAGGAAAATTTAATTGTTTTAACATTTTCGTTGGCAATGAGTGAATATAGAAAAATGTTTCGAGTTAGATGTATGTGGAAAATGTGTATATTAAGTTATCCTCTTAATATTTACAGAGGTGCTACAATAGGTTGTACAAAATAACCGAAAAAAGCCTGTAATAACTAAATAAGAAAGTCATGTGTTGGACACATCGAATTTTTTTAATTGTGTATAGAATTACATAAAAACTAAAAAATTAAAGAGAAATAACCCTTTTAAGTTTCATAATTATCATATTTTTTGACTTTGCAAAAACCGCACGGGATTATCTAAAATAGTGTAATTGGCAGTTTTGATTAGATTCAGTCATCGTTGGGAATTTTTTTAGCAAAATAGATAAAAACTTTGTAGACAATTATGGATTAAAATTACCTTGTCAGTTGTATTCCTATTCAAAGATCTGCAGAACAGCTTCCTTAACTCAGTTTTAAACTTCGGATGCGATAAGGCGTATACATAAGAATTGACGCAAGCAGCGGTCTTACAAGATAGCGCAGGTATCATCGAGGTGAGTGGGGTAATCAAATCTTTTTGACCGCTCACCCCTAACAAAGCCACTATCGCATAAGGTGTCCAAGATAAAAACCATAAAATTATCGTTGAAAACACTATTAATGCAAGTTTAATCTCCTGCTTCTTGCTATCCTCTTCTTTGACATGCCGAAAGGAGTCTGTCCCTCGCTTTTGGGACCTAGCTCTGGCAGAAACAACCTTCATAATATTAATATAGCTAAAAGAAATCAACGTCAACGGTACAGCCCACGCTGCACAAAAGAAGACTATAATAAAATTCTTAATCATCGGATCCTCGGTCAGATAATCGAAGCTACAACTTGTCAGATAACCTTCGTACGTGTACTTTCCGAAGCCGATATCCAGTACTGGGATTGAGGCAAAACATGCGCCGTATATCCAAGTAACGACGAGGCAAATTTTCACTCGAATGTCGGAGAAGCTCCTGTTCAGTGGGAATCTTATGACGAAATATCTATCGAAAGAGATTACGCTGAGGGTTATTATGGAGGCTACACCAGTGAGACCACCTAGAAAGCCGTAGATTCGACAGGCTGGAAAAATGCAGTAATAATTAATATGAAGCATTCCTAGATCATACAATGTAAGCAAATAAATTCCTTATCAGAGCAAGAGAAAATCAGAGTTAGTTAAATTACAGATCAACTATGTATAAATCAAAATAGTCCACAGGCATTCACTGTGATTAAGTGTTACAGGTATTTAGTTTTAATATTAAATTGCAGTAGTGACGATTTTTTCCTTTTATTTGAGGTAAAAAGTATTTTTTTACAGTGTAAATTTTATTAATAGAACATTTAAATAAAATAGTAATAAGAACAAATTGGTAATTTGTAAAAACCAATTAACTAATTTTGAATATTGTTCTGTATTTTATTAATCTGATTTAACTGCTTTCAGAATAAACGTAAATAACAAAATTCCAGTTAAAAATGCATCTAGGGGGCACTTTATAAGTGGTTTTTTTATATTTTATGGAGTATATCTGTTATTTACGTTTGGAGAAGAAAATTTGTTCAATAAAAATTAATTATAATTTTATTATCTATAATTTCTCTTTTATACAAAATTTTCCTAAAATGGTCCGTATTTGGGAAATTTGACAAAATGTAAAAAAACAATTTTTTTATAAAAATTGTTTAAATAAAAGTTGTTTGTAATATAATTCTCTATAATTTTTATTCTATACCTAATTTCTCTAAAATGGACCGTATTCGAGATATTTGAGAAAAAATGTAAATTTCGAATTTTGAAGAAAACTCAAAACGGAATAAGGAAAAATGTTAAATTTTAAACTTAAAATTTATTTCTGCCTAAGGTGAAATGATTAGATTTTGGACAGAATCGGAACATATTACACTTTATAAAAGGTCGTTTTTATATTTTATGGAATATGTTATTTATATTTGGAGAGGAAAATTGTTCAAATAAAAGTTACTTCTTATATTATTTTCTATAATTTTGCGAGATTGCCTCAAACACTTTTTACTGTAGTGCCATCCTACAATATCTTCTTATAACGCTAGTACCACATCTAAATCTACTTAGATTTTCTAAGGGATTTTTTATTTTCGAACAGTCACACTCTCTGTTAAACCAAAATGTTTGTTTTTGAATGATAGTTTTGTATTTATGATGATGTTTTTTACCTTTAATACACCAAAACTCATTGGTATAACTTTAAATTTACTTCAAAAAAAAAAAAGTCTATTCATCATTGTAAGGCGAATATTTAGTAAAAAAAAGTATTTTTTTATTTAGCTTTAGTATAGATTCATGGTAATTTATTTAATATTTAACAAAAACATTTTATTGTTTCTTTTAAATACTAGCCTGTTCAAACTGTTGTACATTTCCTTTAATTCTGTTTTCGAATATATGTTGCTAAGATCAAATTTAGAGTAGATAATTACATTAAAAACTTCAATAATTCAGTCTTCTAAACTTTCACATTTGATTATCTTATCTAATAAAGTGGAAGTGGATAAATAAGAAAACCTAATCCATTGGGCCAAATCCAAAACACGCGTTGGGAAATGGATTTTTTCACCTTATTATATAAACAGTAGATACCTAACCCTGCAGAAAATGTTTTGTTCCATCATTTCGAGAATATTTCAGCTGATGTTGTTTATTCCACCATTCCACATTAGACATAGGCGCGTGAAATTAAAACTAAAAGATTTTGTGAAACGAATTTTTAATTGAAAATTGTTGAATAAAATACGAAGTTCAATAAATACCATTGCAATGTAAATGCGAATTAATTTACTTTGAAACGTGTTCGAAATAACTTAATTAGTTGTAAATATTACCATATTATAATACAAGTTTTACGAGCAATTTTAAAAGCACAACAATAAACAAACGACACAATAATCTAGATAATGATAAATAAAAAACCGAAGATTACAAATTACATAACAGTATATAATAAAGAAAGCAATAGGAATAACGGCATAATTTAACGATAATTTTAGAACATATGGTTTTGCTTGAAAGAGTAAAACCAAATTTGGTAGAATTTCACACTTTTATTTTAAAAATATAAAAATTTTTAAAAAACACTAACATGACATATGTTTCGAAGTACAACTTCTTTTTCACATTTTTTTTTTGGAGTGAGGGTAGCCATATGTGAGTAGTAGGGATTGAGTGTAAGGGGTTAAAGAAAAGGTCCTTTATTTCTCACAAGTCAATTTAATTGGCGACCGGTTTCGAAGCTGTCACTTCATCATCAGGCACACCTAAATGAAATGTCAAGGAGTCAGTTGTAATAAAAAACAATTATAAAAGCATGAACGGACTTTAACATATACAAAATAAGAGAAAAAAAAACACAAAAGAAGTTAAACAAAAACCTTGACTCACCTTGACTATTTCCATAAAGGAAGCGCTACATAAAGTTTAACAAAACGAGTTAAAAAAGTCATATGTAATACAATAGTATTTTTTTTTTAAATATTGTATTATTATTATTATTATTATTATTATTATTATTATTAAATATTATTATTATTAATTATTATTATTATTAATTATTATTATTATTATTATTATTATTATTATTATTATTATTATTATTAATTATTATTATTATTATTATTATTATTATTATTATTATTATTATTATTATTATTATTATTATTATTATTATTATTATTATTATTATTATTATTATTATTATTATTATTATTATTATTATTATTATTATTATTATTATTATTATTATTATTATTATTATTATTATTATTATTATTATTATTATTATTATTATTATTATTATTATTATTATTATTATTATTATTATTATTATTATTATTATTATTATTATTATTATTATTATTATTATTATTATTATTATTATTATTATTATTATTATTATTATTATTATTTTTGGTTTATCTCGTATTTTAAACGGTAGGTACTATCTTTACGGGTCGAACCAAGGTAAAGAAGCTTTTCTTGTTTTTTCTTTTTATTCCCCGAGAAATTTTCTGACCATGTTGCAGGTACCAAGAACTACTGCCTTCTGCATTTTAATATATATTGATGATGGTACCTCTAACTTTTTCAGAGCTTCATGGAGATTGCGTGGTACTACTCCTGTAGCAGATATAATTATGGGCAAGATGTATACTGCTTTAACCTGCCATAGCTGTTTTACTTCAAGAAGTAATTCGGAATATTTTCTAATTTTTTCAGCATATGCAGCTTGGATATTGCCTGTATTTGGGATAGAAACGTCTATCAAGAACGCAATTTTATTATCTTTATCTATAATTGTTATATCTGGCCTATTATGAGATACTGTTCTATCGGTTAAGAGTCCTCGGTCCCAGTATATTCGAGCTGAACTATTTTCCAAAATTTTTGGAGGGTTACACTTGTAGTAGGGAGTGGTTTTTTCTTTTAATTTGTAATTTACAGACAACTGATCATGCAATATTTTCGCTACATTATCATGTCTAACTTTATATTCCGTTTGTGCTAGTACTTGACATCCGGAAATTATATGTTGAATATTTTCAACGGCAGATTTACATCTTCTACATGCGTCATCTTCGGTGCCATCCCTTATAACATGTTTCTTGTAGTTTTTTGTACTTATCACTTGATCTTGGATGGCCATCATAAACCCTTCTGTTTCCGGAAATAGAGAACTGTAAGAAAGCCATTATTATTATTATTATTATTATTATTATTATTATTATTATTATTATTATTATTATTATTATTATTATTATTATTATTATTATTATTATTATTATTATTATTATTATTATTATTATTATTATTATTATTATTATTATTATTATTATTATTATTATTATTATTATTATTATTATTATTATTATTATTATTATTATTATTATTATTATTATTATTATTATTATTATTATTATTATTATTATTATTATTATTATTATTATTATTATTATTATTATTATTATTATTATTATTATTATTATTATTATTATTATTATTATTATTATTATTATTATTATTATTATTATTATTATTATTATTATTATTATTATTATTATTATTATTATTATTATTATTATTATTATTATTATTATTATTATTATTATTATTATTATTATTATTATTATTATTATTATTATTATTATTATTATTATTATTATTATTATTATTATTATTATTATTATTATTATTATTATTATTATTATTATTATTATTATTATTATTATTATTATTATTATTATTATTATTATTATTATTATTATTATTATTATTATTATTATTATTATTATTATTATTATTATTATTATTATTATTATTATTATTATTATTATTATTATTATTATTATTATTATTATTATTATTATTATTATTATTATTATTATTATTATTATTATTATTATTATTATTATTATTATTATTATTATTATTATTATTATTATTATTATTATTATTATTATTATTATTATTATTATTATTATTATTATTATTATTATTATTATTATTATTATTATTATTATTATTATTATTATTATTATTATTATTATTATTATTATTATTATTATTATTATTATTATTATTATTATTATTATTATTATTATTATTATTATTATTATTATTATTATTATTATTATTATTATTATTATTATTATTATTATTATTATTATTATTATTATTATTATTATTATTATTATTATTATTATTATTATTATTATTATTATTATTATTATTATTATTATTATTATTATTATTATTATTATTATTATTATTATTATTATTATTATTATTATTATTATTATTATTATTATTATTATTATTATTATTATTATTATTATTATTATTATTATTATTATTATTATTATTATTATTATTATTATTATTATTATTATTATTATTATTATTATTATTATTATTATTATTATTATTATTATTATTATTATTATTATTATTATTATTATTATTATTATTATTATTATTATTATTATTATTATTATTATTATTATTATTATTATTATTATTATTATTATTATTATTATTATTATTATTA